CCCCAAAACCCCAAAACCCCAAAACCCCAAGATTTATCAATCAATTGAATTAAGAGCATTTGTATAAAAAAACTCAATTATTAAATTTATTTATCTTTTCAATTAACAGCTAAAAATATTCTTCAATTTTGATTCAGCGCTTGTGTATTTAAAGGTATAGGATCCTTCACCCATTTTTACTACTCCAAATTAAAAGAGTGAAGGTAGAATTCCCCAAAGACTAATAATTTCTCGTTTTTCAAAACCAAGATGTTATTTTAAAATCTATCCTGCTTAGCAAGCTTAGAATGAATATTCAATGTCTCATTTTATATATCTATTATGTATCCTCTCTAGGAAATATTAGAGCCTGAACCCCCACCAAAGAGAATTATCTTATTTGGATCAGAATAGGAATTGAAGCAACCCATATGTTTCATTGAAGGCATTCTTTCTAGATCACTGAATAATGTCTTAACAGAAATAGTCTCCCATTCTTAAGACAAATTATTTAGTGCATCAATCCTCTCAAAAGTATACTCCATTACCTATTTTGAGTTTGTCTAAATGTTCTTATTTTATTTAAATCGACGGCCTCTTGTTGTTACGTTTCCAAAAGCATATAAATATTGATTTTAAACAATGCAAAGTGAGACATCCTCTCTCTCCTCGTTCAAGGATGGAATATTTTACCATCTGTCCTGATGAATATTATACAATTCTGCCTTTTAAACATATTGCTCCTTCCATCCTCCAACTGTGAAAATATTTTGGTTAAAGTAAATGCATCCGAAAAAAACTCGAGCTTCCAGCATTTAGCTTCTCTCACAAAAATCATGACTTATGTAGTTATACATATAATTATTTCCTAAATACTGACCTTTGTCTTCTCCACCAAGAATAAACATGTTCTCTGTTGTTGTCAGGACGATTGATGTCTTTGATCTTAATCCTTCTGGTGCTTTTATACTTGAAAATCCTTTCTCCAATCTTTTTGACAGAAGATTAAACAAAAGGCATTTTAAGTTTGATATTTTGACTACAACCTTTTTGCTTTCATAAAATTAACTTGCTGCTGAGGCTTTACCCTAACCCTAAAGCTAACTCTTTTCACTAATTGCTTCAACTTAGTCTTAAGACATTTATGAATTTATTAACTTCTACTCTTCCTTTTCCTCAATATTGTCACCTTCACTAATATTCTTTGGTGATGAATCATTCGGACACTCCATTAAGGCGTTTAGATCATTTTGAATCTCATTATTATTAGCAGCTGTAGAAAGCAGATTATCATTATTACTAATTTCATCTTTGTTAATATTAGATGTACTCAATTTCTTCTTTTTGTTCTTACCGCTCTTTTTCTTATACTTTGTTTTTATTAGGAATGATAGATCTTTACCTTTTATCGGGGCAGCCTTGTTATTCTCGCTTTCATCTTGATCTTAATTATCCTCTATTTCAATTTTAGATTCCTACTCTTTTTAGACTGACTATTTGTACTATTTATTTTCTTTGGCTGAAGTTTTGGATACTGATTTTTTGGCCCTTTTTTTAACACTCTATTTTTCAGGCTACTTTTCTATTACTGTATTTGATCTAAGTGGTCTTTTCTTTCCTTTGGAATCAGGAGGTGTATCTTTTTTTGATAAATTCATAGTTTTTTTCAATTAAGATCCAATTTTATCAGGAGAAACTGATTTTTTTTCTTTGGACTAAATAATCTCTTCTGATTACTCTTATTTTATCTTTAAATCTAGGTTTTACTCCTTTTTTGGACTCAACTTTTTCTTTTCATCTTTTGTCTTAGAACCTTTAACTTTACTTCTTTTAGCATAGTGCTTTGTCGATTGTCACTTTTAATCCTGATTGTTATTCAATGTCTCATTATCACTAATAGGGAATTAAAACAAACTTTCAGTCCACTCTTCCTCATTATTACTTATATTCTTAATCTTGCTATTTTCAATAGTTGCATTTGAGCTTTCAATAATAGGCTTAAATGAAAGTTTAGGTTTCTTAGGCTTCTTTTCTTTTTGAGGAGATTTCTTTCGGATGATTTGACTAATCTTCTTTGGTTTAAGAATCGCTTGTAAACTATTGTCTTGAGACATCTCAAGTCCTGGTTGAGAAAATTAAGGCTGAATATTACTTTAACTTTATTGCTCAGAATATCTAAATTTTGTTTGAATAAGACTTTTGGACTATGGAGCCATGCTTTTTGAAAAGTGATTTGATTGAGGTGGCTAAGTAAGCTTCATGATTATTTGTTTATTATCTCTGCAAATAAAATCATACTCTCTCTTAATCTCTTGGCCTGACTAATATTGATCTACTATTAATTACTAAATTTCAACTTAAAGATCTTAGAATATCATATTTTAGGACAAACTCGATATGATTTGCTAACACCTTTGTAATATATCTCTTGATGCATTAACCACAAATTTAACTTCTTCATCATTGATGAAATTTGCATTCATTTTCTTGTCCATTTAACTAAGATTAGGTTATTACTGATTTAAGTCATTATTGTAGTTGTTTTTATAAAATTCCTACATTTTAAGATAATAAAGCTACTTTTCTTGGCTTTATTTATTCTCAAATAAACTTAGATATCATCACCTTAGTTCTCTTTTTATCTCAGTTTTATTTTGGTATTTATCCATTTTTTATATAAGATTTGATGAGTCAGTCATCACATTTCCAACGAGTTTTTTAATTTGCTTAACAATAGAGGTGACTTCAAAAATTCTTTCATTGTGCTATTCACTTATCGAATCAGTCATAAAACATTCCTAGCAAAAAAACTTGTAGCAAAGTGTACAAAATGACATTCTTTGCTGATGATAGCATAGACTTCCACATGAAAAGCCATGGTCATTGTATTATTATGACATTATTGCCAATGGTGTCTCCTTGTAATGAACTAAAGACTGCTATATTGGTGAGCTTGACATTATTCTAAGTAATTTTGAGAAATCTATAAATCCTAATTATTGTCCAAATTTAATTTTAATTAGATTTATTTTCTATTGGTCTCCAAAAATAATGATCCGGGGTTTTGGGGTTTTGGGG